TCATTTTTCTTGCTTCGTGAGCAGTCTGGTTTTGTCTAGTACAGAATGATTTCTTCTTCTTCTAGAAGGTTCAAGGTATTTTCAATTATTTTCTCCAGCAGCACAATTCAAAGGCATATTTTTTTCTTCATTCAGTTTTTCTGATGGTCCAGTTTTCACAGCCATATATTACAACTGGAAAATCATAGTCTTGACAATATGTGCATTTATTGTCAATGTGATATTTCTGTACTTTAATATTTTGTCTAGATCTGTCACAGTCTTTCCTCCAAGTAGCATCTCTCTATTTCATGGATAGAGTTATCATGCATCCTTCTAAGTCTAGGAAGAAAAAGTCTGTTATTTTTCTCTGTCTATTTGCAATGGAGGGGCATTTCCTGTTGACATAATCTTTATTGTTGTTAGGCTGCATAATAACATTTGCACTCTCTTTTTTCACCTTCCACAAGAGATTCATTAAAGTTTCCCTCACTTCCAGCTGTCAGAAAGATATCAGGGTAATTGAGGTTATTACTGTTTCTGCCAGCAATTTTAATTCCTATTTCTATTTCTTCTAGTCTAATATTTCTTATGATATCTTCTGATATAAGTTAAATAAATAAGAAATAAGGTGACACTATACATCCTTGGGGTATGCCTTTCCCAATTTTGAGCCATTTGGTTGCTCCATAGTTTGTTCTAACTATTGTGTTGTGGTCATCATACAAATTCTTCAGTAGACAGTTTTTAAGAACTAAGCACAGTGTGTGGGGTTTACCCAGTAGAAAATCTTGATCATTATCTTAATAGCATGCGAGATAAGTGTGATTGTTTGGCTATTGAGTGGTACTGTCTTTATTGAGAATTGGAATAGAACTAGCTATTTTCCAGTCCCTTGACCACCACTGCATTTTCCATATCTGCTTATGAACTTTAGGCAGCACTTTGACTGCATCATTTTGTAAAATTTAAAACTGTTATGCTAGTATTTCAGTAATTCCTACATTTTTGTTTGGAGATTTGGGGGACTTATGACTCCTGCTCTAATAGCAGGTGGCAGCCGTGGCTAGGGGGGCTTTAGCACAAATCCATCATGTGTGTCAGTTGGAGTTCTACAACGTGGTCTATGTGGGCTGCTTGTGCAGAACATTCAGAAGCTTCAGCTGGTCCTGAGTACAGTGTTATACACTATTTCAGGAGCATCAAGGTTTGCCTGGGCTATATCATTGCTGCTGGAGCTGCACTGCTCCCAGTATGCTTCCAAGGTCCAATTCAAGGACCTGATTATCACTTTTAAAGCCCTACATGGCACAGGGCCAGACTGTTTATGAGACTGCCTCTTCCCTATGGTTTCTGCCCACACCACCATCTGACATGGTGGGTGGATTCCAGGTCCCTGCTATCAAACAGTGTCATGTGGTGGGACCTAGGAGATGCCCCTTCTCTGTTGAGTCACCTGTGCTATGGAACAACCTCACCCACCCTGAGATCCAGAGGGCCTGGACCCTCTTGCCCTTCTGGAAGGCTGTGAAGTCTCTTCCTCCAACCACTGGGCCACAATATTTGTTGAGCCCAGTATTGACGCAGTTTGTTGGAAGTTTGCTATGATGCCTTGGTTAATGTATTATGGCTTTTTATTTTTATTTTTGTGCTTGAGGGGTTCTTTTAATGTATTAGTTGTTGTTTTTTGTTAGTTGCCCAGGGTTATATGTTTAAGATGAGCAGCCATGTAAATTGTTTAAATAAATAAATAAATAAATAAATAAATAAATAAATAAGTTCGTGTCACTCTCATATTTTTGAGGTAGGCAGGTGAAGTGTTAGGGGATCTTTGCCCAAGGACCCCACTGGTAAGGTAGGTACCAGCCGGGATTTGAACCCCAGTCTCCTGCATCAAAGGCGGTATTCTAACCACTACGCTATCCAGCGTATCCAGCTGTTTATTTAAAAAATAAAAATATATATATAAAAAATCTAGGGCTCATTTAACTTCACTTTCGTGACAGATCACTCCTTCAGAGTATTTATTTATGTCAGCCAAAGTCTGTAAAGGGTTATTTTGGAAGAGAGATAGGACAAAATGACTCCCTTAGGAACAAAATTCTCCTGGATTCAGCTTCAATATAAGGGTAATGTAGAAACCAGTGGTTGTCAGGCCTAGGAAGGCCAATATGTAAACATATCTCACCTGCTTCCCAAGGCTGCCAAGCAACTTGACAAGCATCTATTAATTCAAAGAGCTTAGAGTTTAAAATTTGAAGTATAAATGTGTAAGTATCAGTCTTCTTTGGACTGTAGTGGGCAATCAACTGTTGGACTTGATACTTCATTCCTGTCAGCAGTATAGATTCTAATGTAGTCAAGTCAGGTCTTCTGCCAAATGTAGCTGACAGCTGAATTAAGGATTAAGTGTTTGGAGACCTGTCTGCCATCCTCAGCTGTAAAGCCTAGCAGTCAGTACAAATTTTCCCAGGAATGAAATCGGAATGAAAGGTTAAGGGGCAGAGAATTATACAACAAATGCACTTGTGAATAGGGAGACTACAAAAGAGGCAGGGAAATCTGAAATATTTTTTCAGTTTTTTTTTTTTTAAGTAAAGTATGAGGAGGTCAGTTATTTAACTGCACAGTATGCTGCAGGAAGGGGGCAGTACAAAAGGAAGGTGCTGAAATCTAGGGCTTACAATAATCTTGCCACCTACTAGATTAATATGCTCAAAAGGAAAGGAACAGAAATAATACCTCTGTATCTACATCTACATCATCTACATCTATGCTTAGCTCAGAAATCCAAGTGAGTGAACTTGGTTAGGTTGTTAGAAAGTATCTGAGTTTAAGCAAAGGAACAAATAAAAGCAATACAGTTGTTAGAGTCTACTATCATCTATCCAACCAAAGATGTGGATGATGTGTTTCCACCTGGGGTCAAGTGACCCTTTACTTTCTTCCTGCTCCCCTGCCCTCCCATACACAGGGAGATTCTCACTGCAATCTACATTGTTCAAGCTATTGTGAAAAGCAACTGGTTAACAAAAATGCTCCCATGTTATCCTTTCAGTATCACGCTAGCTGAGGCTTTTCAAAAGAAAAAGAAGGAAGGGCGCTTTCACAATACTTATTTATTTATATTTCAAATTTAGATACCGCCCATTTCACAAAAAAGTGACTCCGGGAGGTTCACAATAAAGCAGGAATATATATTAAAATACAATAAGAACAATATAAAATAGAATAAAAAATCAAACATATGCAATATTTATTTATAATAAATATTTATAATATGTAAACAACAATATAGCATTGTTGTTGCAGGGGTTATGGGTTTTCATTTGTTTTTTATTTCTACCAACTGCACAGTATGTACCCCAAAAAGGGAAGGGTGTGGAGCCACAATTTATATAATCTTATGTGTGTGTTTGTGTCTTGAGATAGCAAGGTGATTTTTGTTACTCCAGTGATTACTGCAGCTCAGAAGACAGCACAATCTTTGAGACCCAGTTTTTAAATATTCCTATTAGTTTACTAAAAGGAAAACCAATTTAATCATGGTGTGTCCTGGCTCTTCTCAATGTTTCAAAATTGGCAGAAATGAAGATAATCAAAGTTCAGCTTCAAACTAGTTTTGTAAGGGATTGAGGGGTGGAAGTAGTAAAAACTGTGCCCAAGGAAGTGCCCTAATTATGTAAGAACATTGTTTAAGCTGTAGCTATTCAGTAGGGAAAAAAAGAGTGCACATACTCAGATTCACTTCTGATATTAGGGCTTGGACCCTGAATTTGTCTCAACTTCAGGCAACATTGATAATATATTTGTGTTTCAACTATATCAGACTCGAATGTGTTGAGCCTTAATGTAATCTAGAGAAATATTTTGTTTTATCATTCAAAAATTGTAATTAGTCTGGAATATCTGATATACATTTGGATCTCAACATGAAACCTAATTCAATCATGTAAACATTCATTGTGCAGAGACAGGCTGACTTAGAAGTCCCAGTTTTGGTTTGAGATTAGCCCTGTGGGGTTCATATTACTTTGTAACCAGGGACTTGACTTTGTGAGCAATTGTGATCTACTTCAATTGTTAGTTCAACTGACGGAGAAATGATCTTTAAAGGTAACAGATGAGGAACAAGAAAGATGCCCATGTCCAGCCAAGTTAAAGATCCTTTATTATATCAACATTCACAAAATGGCTAGGGTTAGATATTTGAGAAGGGAGGGGAAGCATTCTACTTTTAGCAGCTTTTCTTCCCCCACAATAAAGAGGGAGAGAGATAGGATAACTCTATGCATAGAGGTATATCTCTTCCCCTTTGGCTCAAACATCCCTGTTCAAGTCTCTCACTTCTTCACTGTTGTTTCCCCCAGGCCCAACCAGCCAAATACCTGAAACATATCTGAAAATATATTGATGCAAGCTTTCACAACCTGCAGGCTTTCACAGCCAGTGCCAATCCAATAGTAAGGAGCTTCTGGGCTAATAGGATATCATCATTGGATATCTGAAAAAAAGTCAAAACAGCTTGGTTCAATTTTAGATGTGTTTTAAAATGGACTCAGAAGGATTCAAAGAACTGATTATCTGGATGTGACCTTAGTTTTCAGGCATCTGTCATTGAAGTTGAGCTCTCATCACAATGGTTCATGCAATTTCCACTTAACATGTTAAGTATGGTTTCTCAGCAGATTTTTGTTTTCATTGAAAATTTGGTGAGTCTGATAGAGACAGTGTCAGGGAAAAGATTTAAAGCGCGTTCCTTTATGCCACAATCTTAATCCAAGTTTTTCTCCCACTCTATTGGCAGTCTTTTTAAAATTTCAGCCAAACCACATTTCATTTTGTTCTCAAATAAATACTGACTGCATAAAACTAGCACTGCTAATATGTACTTCAAAAATAAAATTCAAAACAGGCCATTGAGAGATTAGCATACAAGCGTTGTAGTGAATGTTTATAATCTTGCTTTTGATCGTATGTTTCCTGTCTGGCATTAACAACTGTCCTACTTTACTATTCAGGCATTGATCCTTGTTAACAACAAAATCAGCAAAATCAGCCCTGGAGCTTTTTCTCCACTCAAGAAACTGGAGAGACTTTACCTTTCCAAAAACAACTTGAAGGAACTTCCAGAAAACATGCCAAAAAGTTTGCAGGAACTGCGTGCGCATGAAAATGACATTGTCAAATTAAGGAAAGCTGTCTTCACTGGACTGAATAATGTGATTGTCATAGGTATGCACCATTACTTATAAATAAAAGTTTATAAGAGGAGTTTATTAGTTGGTAAATACAGAATATTACTGAAATTTGACAAAATCCAAACTTCATTAGAGCATCTTCATTGGACTATTAATGTAAACTCTCCAAAGAGAATTAAGTAATTATATCACAATGAATAGTTCAGTGTGAAAAAAAAATGTGAAAATGTAATTAAATGTGTAATATGGTTCATGCTGAGGTTAATAAACTGATGGTTATTTGCATCTTACATTGCATTACATTACCAAGAGATGTTTTGGATTACACTGGGATATAAATGTAATAAATAAATCTAAACATTTTCCCAATAATTTTATTAATGATTATATAGAACAGATAAAACTAATACAAAAACCTAATGCAAAATTACATTAAAAATAGTATATGAAAGTACAGAGAAAATAAAAAAAAATCCCCCCAAATAAAAAGAAAAAGAAGAAACTTCCCCCTTCATCCCCAGCAAGTATATACATTAACAATTTATCACTGTCTCTTAAAATACTACCATATACATCTTCATTCCATACTTCACCCCATTTTCTATAGAGCCATCTCTAAATCCTCAGTTCTCCTTATTAATCAACAAAAGGTGTAAAGATTAACAGACATAACTAACAACATAAGCATTTAGTTCCCCTGTCCATTTAAACATAATCCCCCAATCCCACTCTTAATAATCAAAATTAATCCCAATTAATAATTAAACATTACAAAGAGATAAAAAATAACCATTGATCATCACTAGGGATAGCAACCCATTGTTAATCCCAATGAACAATTAAACATTATAGAAAAATAAAAACTGTGAAACATTACCAGAAATAATATCCCTTATTTGTATACCAAAAATAGTAACATAGATATTACAAGCTAATCCATTATACCTAACTGGACATTTCCAAGAGTTATCCAGTCAAAGTAACCATTAAACATCACCAGAGACAGCAACCCATTACTTAACCTTAATCAAATAAACCAGTTTTGTATTTTTTTCTTTTTCTTCCCATCAATCCTTGAATCTCATAGATAAAGTTCTAGCATCTGCTTTCTTCTATTATCCGTATCTCTTCTCTCAAAATCCTTGTCATCTTTATCAAAGTCCATATGGAATTTCAGTGTAGTCTCTCCAGTAAGTCTATTCCAATTTAAATGCGTAATCCACATCCCTCTTGTGATACATTATTTATATGCCTTTTTAAATTTTCAAATGATCATCCAATTCTATTTCTAAATCCAATATTTCCATCTCTTTTTTATAGGTTATAATTTTTAAGTCCACCTTAAAATCCATTTCAGTTATTTTCCAAGGAACTTTGTTCTCTTCAGTAGCAACGTTTGGTTCCATTATAGGGTTAAATAGTCCAAGCATTTCTTGAACCAGTTTATAAAATGTTTCCATTAAAGTAACCATCTGGTGTTGTCTAGTGATTAACCTTCAAAGCTTTGTTATCAGGGCGAAATATAAACGTGATTTTTTTTCCCACACAAGAGGATTTTTTTAATTAACTTCAAAGTCTTTCTTTAAACCAATTTCATCCAAATCCTTAGCGTTCAAAAACTTTCCAAAAACAACACTATAGTCTCTCTTTTACAAAGCTGGAAACACAAAATTCTCTTTCTTTTTAAACGGATTGAAGAGACACTCACCCAGGGGAATACCCAACTTGTGGTTCCAAAGGTTTTTCAATCTTAAAGAAGTAGTAAGGGAAAAATAAATAAATAAATAAAAACTCCAAGGTGATTAAAAAGATGAGCTTTGTACAAACTTTACATCCTTAAAAGGCTACATTAATGGTTCAGAGCATGGTGAAACCCACGACTCCCAGCTGATCACAGGTGGCTGCAAAAACATTGGTTTCTGCTGCCAATTCACAAAAAGCCCAGCTGTCCAGAATGCATGAGTTCATGCATCAAGATCTCTCTTTCATCCAGAAAAAATTATTGGCAGACCGGATCCACATCCACCTGCCTTTCGGCCACAATGTCTCCCATAGAGCATGGGGCGTCAATTCACTAGCCTCGCCGGAAGTAAAAGTCAACCCATTAAACATTTTTAAAGGATGTTCATGTGATACAGCCTTCATCCACCCCCAGCCTACCATGGAAGAAGCTTACTTTTGTCTTTAGCGTTTGTGGTTTTAAAGGAGTATTTTTCCTACTGTCTTGAAGCATTTATCATACAAATGTTCCTTGATGGTATTTTACCTCATGCATTCAGGGGTAGAGTTCTCCTCAGCTTCCACTGGTTACTTTTGGGTGCTGAAGGCATGTTCTTCTCCTCCAACCACTGGACCCTGCTGTCCATGGCCAGTTTGATTTGAGCAGTACAGGAAGTTGGCACCTTCTGCAGAGACTTATGCTCACATAATGCCTAACCAGCACGCTGCAAATTGTCTAGGCATTACACAGGTGGCTTATATACACACATCTAGGGTTATTCTTTGTTGTTGTTCAGTCATTAAGCCATGTCCAACTCTTTGTGACCCCATGAACCATATTGCGCCAGGCCTTCCTGTCCT